ACCTTCCAATGAAGTGAACCGGGTTCGAATATCAGCAATGACTCGTTGCTACGAATTCCGCACCCGACTCGCACCGACCACAGTGCTGACGTAAAATATCCTCACTGTTAGATGAATCATGAATTACAGTCCCCTTCTAGTGGCTCACCGTGGGAGGTTTTCATGGTTTTCCTCTTCATGTAAAGCAAATACGGGTTAGTTCAATCAAAAAGTTTTCCATGAAGGCAGATTTCTCCCAACATTTGATCCAGGAGTTCCCTTGTCTTCCGGATTGGGTACAAGGCTACGAATTGAACATTAGTAGCCAGTATATGTGCTACTGTGAATGACCGAAATGGGTGGTTGTTGACTTCCACCGTTGAATGTTGACAATTGCTTCGGTAAATGTCCGAAATATATATTAGGTCTATCTAAGTGCCACTGTCCGGTATGCCTTAGATAATTGTTCTTTTAAGGTTCTGTGCCGCAACCCGGTATGCCCTTCATCAATGTTTTTTTAAAGTCTTTTAAGGTCAAGTACCACTGCCCGGTATATATTTAACCGGTACTCCGAACACTGATGTTTCTCCTAATATATCCTCAGCAAATATTAAAATATTGAATAAATATAATAATATCATCCAATAAATTAATATCAAATCGTAAATAAAAAATACTTCGGACATTCATCGAAAAAAACAACAACAAAAAGTTACTGTAAAAAAACTTACTGAGACGGTTTTGGCCTGTAGTGCATTTGAAGAAGAAGAGTGATCAGAACTTTCATCACCAATGCATTTATTTTACTTTTTTGCGTATTTAATCATAACTCTAAATCAAATCTTAATCATAACTCTAAATCTAAGAATCAAAAAGTTTTGCACAAAATTACGAAACTCGTTTATCCAAAGGTAAATTAATTCCCTCCAAAAATATTATTTTTTATTATTCAGTTTAAAGTAATCATTTATATTGGGTAAAATGCTAATAATATAATAAATATTAATATCTTATGTGTTACTAAATTACACAAATAACTTTTTTATGCGAAAAAAATATTTTTAGATATTAAAAAAGTAGTCTTTTTTATTTTAACGTTTCAAATCAAAGAAACAAGAAAGATTTAATTTTTGAGAAAAATATCTTCTCATGACTGTGTCTCCTGTCTTGCTAAAAATAAAAATAAAAATTATTTATGGATGAACTTGACAGGTGATAATGCCTCCTACACTTTGTTTGTTCATCTTTCACTATTCTTAGGAATAAATTCCAATAAAACATGCTTCCCATTGCCAACAAAAATAAGCAAATCACAAATCCCCTCCTTGCTTACGTAAGAAAATAAAGCAATATTCCCTTATCTTGTTTTTTGCTTTAACTTAGACTTTTATTGTAATAATCTAATTTCAGGATATAATTCAAATAACGGACGCATCTTTGCGCGAAACAAAATTGACGTTTTAATTCATTGATTACGTTTCGATTCATTTTCATTCAATTTTGAGTAGAATATTCCATAGATTTTTTCCAGCAAAATTAAATGTTAATTCCAATTCACTAAAATTCGTTTTTAACAAAATAACTTAGGCAATCATTAAAATAAAGCTTAGATCAGTAACTTTTAGACAAATTATTTAAAAAAAAATTAGACGATGTTATTGAGTAGAGCAAAAATAAAATTTTGATTATAAATTTTCATTTCTGTATTAGAGGAGAAAAATAATTTTTTTGTTCGATAAAATGTTAATGTTATGTCTCTCTAAAATTTCAAGGCATTTTTATTTGTTTTTCCATTGCTGTAACTTTATTTATTTTTCATTATCTATACACCATGAATGATAATACTTAGGGACAATTCACTCCGACATTATCAGGAAGCTTTTCTTGAAGTTTCTCCAGGCCATATAGACCCAGTGCCCTCTAGCAACATTTAAAGTAAACGGTTAGTTGATACAATAGATTTGAATAGTTAACACTGTCCCTTAAATTATGTAGTGTCTCTCATATTTTTATTTACATCAGTACGACTATATTTGGAACATAAATTAAAATAATTCTATGAGATTTATTGCTTCAAAGTTGAGTTCTTATGCTTCATTTCAATAAAAATTATTGAATTAAGATAGTGTTACGTGAAATTATGTTATGCTTTGAAATTTTTTCACATTAAACGTTTACATAGAATAAATTTTTCTGACCAATTGCAAATCTTTTATTTTAGATATTAGTTCTATTATAGATTAAAAGTATTTCATCCATATTTTTCATATTTTTATTTACTCCTGCTATTTCGATTCTGTCCTATGATAAATTCTACTATTAAAAGAGAAAAAAATCTACATTAATAACGCTTTTCCTTATTTATTTTTCCATTAGTTTTTAGGAATTAAGGGTGCATTGGTGCAAGTCAACCATGTTAATAAGCATTAAATTCAACATGGAAATAAATTAAGGAACAGGAAAAATGATGATAAATTAAAATATTTAAAAGAAATCGTAATTTATTTTACAAAATGTTCCTTCGTCTTCATAAGCGCACAAAATCCTTATGATATCTAAAGTTTTTCATAGAATTAAAATAAAATAAATAACCAAACGATTTAAAAAAAACTCCATAAATTCAATTAAAAATAATAAAAGAAAACGATAAACTCGTCTATCTAATTAGTTATTCCACTTTTTGCCATAGCGTGGTGCTTAAAAAAGCTAATACCGGAGTTTTTAATAGGAAAAAAAAATTGAAAAAATAAGCATCGCCTATTTATATAGCTCTAGAGTGAAAACTATGTATCTTTCTGTGATATACAAACACAAAAAAAGAATTTTGTAACTCAGTTCAAATCAATTTGTGATTGTAAACACAACTGTCCTCCCTTGTACGAACTTAAAAATTATTTAACCTTTGAAAAAAATTTCATACCATTACGGTTAAAATGAACTTATTACACAACAGATTTTTTTTTTTTTGAAATATGACTCTGTGTTTATCGAGGATTCTTAAGATTCGTGTGTCAAATAGCAATTCATATCCTTTCAGGGAAAGCATTCAATGCACCTCTTAGTTAACAAAGGATTTGAATAGCCACTAAATGTCACGTCTAAGTTCTTAATAAACGTTACATATGCTTGAAATCGTGAGCCATTTGAATATTTCGTACATTTGAATGCCTATAGTTTAATGCTATGGCCTTGATGAAATACGCATTCGAATGTAATACGTATTTATGTTCCCAATCTTGTTGAAATGAAAGAAAAAAATTTGATTCCCAATTTCTGTAAGAAAACAATTTAAAATGAGCTTCAAAATTTCGCACTACTAAGAAAAACATATTAATACATTAATATTATGTAATAATACTTAACCTAAAAAAATCTATTTTCATAATTTATACCTAGTTTTAATGCGTCTATTTTCCGCACTTTTATTTTAAGGAAATTAGTCTCAGTTATCTATTAGCTTAATGTTCAGTTATCTATAAGCCTTTAAGTGGGTTAAAATCACATTTAGTGTGTTAGACTATGTATTTTTAAATTGTATTAAATATGCATTTGCAGTATGAATTCTTATTTTAAATGTCTGAAAATAATCATTTTGTATTTTAATATGTATTTTAATTATTATAAGCATTTAACGACTTATTATAAGCATTTGATGACTTGATGTGTATTTTTAGATTCTTAAAATATGCATTTATTGTTTTAATGTGTATTTTAAGCGTTTTAAAATCTAAATTTAGTGTTTCAATGTGCATTTTAAGGTTTATCAAATAGGCATTTAGCGTTTTAATATCTATTTGAAGTATCTTAAAATATGCATTTAGTGTTTAATATGATTTTAGGTGTCTTAAAATATGCATTCAATGCTTTAATGTATATTTTAAGTTCCTTAAAATATGTATGCAAAGTTTCTTCATTAAGTCATTTATGGGATTTATAATTTTTTTAAATTTGAATACTGAAATAAAAGTTTTGTAAAATTTGTTAATTCATTTTAACTTATTTCTCAAAGAAAATGTGGCATTAATTTTTTTTCTAAGCGTTAACATTAGATGAGAATAACCATAGCGCAGCTGGTGTTACTTTGAGCGACAGTCATTATTTCGCGTTTAACAATTGAAATAGATTATACGATTTTAACTTGAAAATACTAAAACAGCTTTACTAGTTTTTCAAGTGTATTGATAGTTGAAGAATTTTTTGCTTTTAAGATTAAGTAGCTCCATTTACTCGTTTTCTTTTCAATGTGAGATATCGATTCTTTTTCTTTACGCAACTGGCTTTAATTCTTTTTTAATTTCTTTTCATCTGGTTTTAATTTCTTTTCTCTTTAATCTTTACGCAGAGGGCCAATCATTATTTTGAGTATAATAATTGAAATAGATTATATACAATTTCGTGTATTGATTCTTTTTCACACACACTCACTATTAGGAAATATTGAAGACAGCTTTGCCACGTCAAACATTTCAGCGTTTTGTTAACGCAACCCTCCCCCATTCAATTGGTGGGTTTAAAAGTAATAGTCATTTGAAATATATATATGAAACTAGACCATCTTTTCTATAAAAAAATAGGAAAAATACTATTATTATTTGACCGGGATTGCCTGGTTGGTAGGGCGTTGGACCCATGTCCAAGAGGTAGTGAGTTCAATCCCCACCGGCGGAAGACTTATCATGTGGTGACTGATGCACGCTACAACTGACAGGGTCGCGAAGTCCTTCAAATTCCTACAACAAATCAATTCCTCTGGGGGGTACTGGATCGGAGATTGATCGCGCTCTGGTTTAAATCAAACCTACGATGCGGATGGATGATATGTGGTTGCGTTCTCCTTGCAAAACGAACTGTGACGTATGTGTGTGGGGGAAGTTGAATTCTTGGTAATAGATGGCGCCACTGGAAAATAAAAAGTTCACCCCTCTGCCTTAAAATAGGCTTGTTAGTATTGACAAGTTGTATTTACTGCTAAATGCTCGTTTGTAAGAGTTTTAATTAGTTAAAGATGTATTTATTTGTAGGTGAAGTGATTGGTGTGTGTGGTGGTGTTATCCACCATGAAGACTTGGCCTTTGTTGGTATATATGCTGTGCGAGAAAAATATCGTGGAAGTGGAATTGGATATAAGGTAACATTATGACTAATTCATTATTGTTTTAAAACACGGATATTAAGGTTATTTTATTTTGACTGCACCGCAATTAATTCAACACCTACGGTATTTTAAGTGGCTTTTTTTGCCTAAACCACGATTGTTTCAGCACATGTAACAATAAAAGTAACTTCTTTTTGCCTAACACACGATTGTTTCACCACATATGATAATAAAAGTAACTTCATTTAAGCTTTAGCACCGTTGAATCAACAAACACGATAATGAAAATAACTTCATTTTGACTACTTAATTGTTTTACGCAGGGATTGAAGTAACTTTTTCCAACAAGAAAAAAAAATTATTTTGTTTTAGTTTATAACCGTTGTTGAACAGCTGACCCAAGTTTTGGGTTTACGACTACGTAGCCTTGTAATTTTGAACTCAGTCCAGAAGACAAAGGAACTCCTAGATCAAGTATTGGGAGGAATTTTCCTTCGTGGAGTACTTTTTGATGGAACGAACCCGCATTTGCTTTACATGGAGAGGAAGGCCACGAGAACCTCCTACTGCTAGCTTGACCTTCAAGGGGACTCTAACCCATGATCTGTCTTCCGCTGAGGATATTTCACGGCAACACTGTGGTCAGTACAAGCCTTATGCGGAATTTCTATCGACTAGGCATAACTGGGATTCGAACCCCGTTCACCTCAGTGGAAGACGAACGCTCTATCTCCTGAACCATCGCTTCTCAAGGAAAAAAAATATTTTAAATTCGTTCTTTGAGACATAAAAAAATAGATCCCGTTAATGTCATTTGGGGGCTAAATAAAATTATTGTTTACGGCAATTTATACACTTTTCGATTAGCAATTTCTATGCATTACGTATAGAATAAAGAGTCTAACCGTTTAGAATTAAAAAGTTAAGTATTTAAAAAAATTTAACAAAGGGCAAACAAAGTGTACATTTGTATGTATTGCTGAGAGAGAAGAGCTTGCTTGACAAAACGGTTGTTGTAGTTGTAGTTCATTTATGTAGCACTAGAGCTAGCTGCGCAATGGGCTATTGGCGACAGTCTGGGAAAGATCCCTGAGGATGATCCGAAGACATGCCATCACAATTTTGATCCTCTGCAGAGGGGATGGCACCGCCGCTTCGGTAGCTCGACGATCTGCACACGAAGTCGAGAACTTTACGGTAGAACAGCTTAAGGAGGACCACCCTTGGTCCCTACGTAGACTAATCCAAGTGGTCACCCACAAGCACACTGACCGCAGCCAGTGATGCTTGACTTCGGTGATGTGCTGGGAACCGTGTCTTAACTATCAGTCCACTGCTGTCAGATTCAGAGATTTCAGAGTTAAATTTCATTTTTATACATTACAGCTACGAATTTTGATAATTTCATCTGCGTTTCACGTATCTTTTCTTTCTTGGTTTGTCACATAGTGAAATACTTCTAAAGGAGTCCTAGTTTTCAATGAAATACCTTCAAGTGACGTAGTGTGGGTTTCTCGATTGTGATTGGTTGTTGAAAAGTAGCATTTGTTTACGTTATCAACTGTTCTTTCCATTCTATTTTGAGTACGACAAACCCGTAAAGTTACAATTTTCTTAAGTGACACATACTTTCACAAAGATTTTAATTATTTCACTTTGTATTTCTAATTCAACTCACAGACAGGCACGAAGTCACGTAGAACATAAACAAACTAATAATGCATCGAAATTACCAGGTACACGAAACAAAAGTGAGTGAGATCATTTTTGTTCAAAATTATTCCATCTCACATGATTAAATAAGGATTGAGTTATACGCGTATTTTTAAGAGAATCACCATTAGGTCACGCGGGCTGCTTCGAATCAAAGCTCTCGTATAACTATGTGAAACGCACTACTAACGGAATAATATAAATAAATTAAAACTGATTTTCAATAAATAAAATCTAATTAAATTTTCAGTAATTACATTAAATTTTTGTATATTTTTTTTACATGTACATTTTTTAGTTTTATATCATCTTATACACTGTCAGTCACCTATGACTCAGACATAAACGGAAAGTTCAGTGTCAGTCATTAATGACTGACGTGGCACTCAACGTGTTGAATGAAGCAGTATTTAAATTAGTTCTCTAATAACTAAAAAAAGCGAGATTTAAATTAGTTCTTAAACCACTAAATATAGCGCAATTTGAATTAGTTCTCTAATGACTAAATAAAGCAGGATTTAAATTAGTTCTCTAATGACTAAATAAAGCAAGATTTAAATTAGTTCTCTAACCACTAAATATAGTGGAATTTAAATTAGATCTCTAATGATTAAAGCTGGAATTAAATTAGTTCTCTAATGACTGAATAAAGCAGGATTTAAATTAGTTCCTTAATGTAATTTTCTTCAATCACGTGGAGCTTGACTTTAACTCGCCATCTTGTTTATAAACTATTAGCTGGCTCTGAGGTCACAGGTCACGTGCTTGTATATCAGTGAACTTCTTCCTCTCTAGTTGCAAATACCCAATTTTTAAAAATAATTTTTTCGTATTCTCAGAAATACTTTTATTTTAGTATTTTGAAACTTAATTCATTAGTAAATATTTCTTCTTTTTTTAAACATGATAGAATGTATTTTAAAATTCCAGGAATTTTTTCAAATTAAATAAACAAAATTTCAAGACGGAACTTTTTTTCATAAATACATTAAATAGAATTAATAAACTAATAAAATAATACAGTATCTCAAACTTATAAATTATTTCTTTTGGGTATTATCTATAATAGACGATAAATGTAATGTTACGCAAATCATGCCTTCGATTGAAAATGTAGCCATTTTTATTTTCGAATTTTAACATTTTACAAAATTTTCAATTTAAAAACTTTTCAAGCACGAATTTCTTTTCCCACTAATTTATAAAATGAAATAAACATACATAAGTCAATAACTCTGTATCTGAAATTTACCAATTATATCTTTTAGATTTTAACTATAATAAGTGATAAATATGTTGCTATGCAAATTCAGCCTTCCATTAGAAATATAGCCATTTTTAATTTGAAGTCCACAATCCCAAGAAGAAAAGTGTAAATTTTGTAACACGCAAATTTAGTTATATTAATAATTATTTTCTATTTAGCAAATATTTTAGTATGTATCGTCATACTTATTTTTAGAATACCTTTATTTTGCATTACCTTTAAAAATTTTACTGTTTTTTCGAATTTTTAAAGAAAATAAAAGTTTCTCAGCAGACGTATGTTTTTAAATTACTTCTCAATATGCAACACTAACATAGAAAGCATCATTTAAAGGTGGGATTTTATAGATTAAGTTTAAATCTCTAGCGCGTTAAATAAACCGGAACTCCAGGAAGTAACCTGCATGTCCCAGGGGCTCTATATTTTCAGGTGAGCTGCATATGACGTCACAACGCGTTGGAGAAGGGGCGGGCTGATTTAACGAAGCGAAAAATCGATGGTCTGGGTGGAATTCAAACAAACGGGCTTGCTGCGCCCTAGCTGTCTGCTACAGTTTTGGTTAATTTCAGCCCCTGGAAAAAGGAATAGGCGTTCGTAACAAAAGCTTTTAAAATTGCGCCGAGTATATTTTTCTTTATCATTTCTCTTATAATAATTCAGGCGCTTATAAGGCAAGTAATAAGAAAGTTAGCACTCATATTTTTCATAAGAAATGAGTTAAAACTAACTTTAAATTTTACCCGACTTAAAATCTATGGGCGTAAAATAATTTTCCCACTTTACTAAAAAAGTGTTTAAAGTTGGAATGCCATTATAACGTTTTCTGAACACACAACTCAATAAATGGAACAACTTAAATGGAACAACTCAACAACTTAATAAAACAGCGGAATATACTTTTTGTGTTACAAATTTTTATTTAGGATGTAAATTAATGCATTTCTATGTAATTAAAAATGACTAAACTTGGAAAAGTAATGCAATTTTGGAGCAAGCGATTTTATAAATGATAGATTTTTGTAAAAATTTATGATTTCTTAACTTTGGATTTTTTATTGTGGAATAAAATAAAACAAGTGAATACACTACCATTTTGTAAATTGTTAAAAATGGTAGTGTATTACAATATTAGTTACAATTTATTGTATTTTCAAGTTATTAAAAATAACTATAGACTGACCAAAAATATAGTTTTTTGAGTTAATAACTCTATAAATGAAGGATTATTGTTATCGTTTCCTATTTTTAGACTAATTGTGGAATAAAATACAAAACACGACAATGTACCTTGTAGCTTGCATATATTATACAGGTAACAAAATTCAGATATTTTTATATTAAAATAATTACATAAAATAAATGTAATAAAAAAGATCATGTAAAAGAGGAGAAAACATTATTTTTTAACTATTAAACAAACGACTCTGTATATACGTATTAGATTTCCGTAATCGTTTTCAAATTTTTAATTTTGAACTTCTTATTGTATTATGAAATAAAATATTTGGATTAGTTTTATCTGTTACAAACTATTCTAGAGCATTAAAATTTAATGTGTTGTGCAAAATTCTTGTAAAAATGGGTATTTATAATTACCCCGTACTTTAGCGTTATAATGCAATTCCATATATCTCAAAATTTCACTAACAGGTGACTAAGTAGAAAATGAAATGAGAAAATTTATTCGGCCTCCCCTTGCCGTTTGGCTATCCATCGGAGGTTTTCCTCTCCATATAACGCAAATGCGGGTTTGATCCATCAAAAAGTCTTTCACGATGCCAAATTTTTCCTAACATTTGATGCAGGAGTTCCCTTGTCTTCTGGATTGGGTTCAAAATTTCAAAGCTATGGAGTTTAACATTGATCAGCTCTTCAACCATGTTTATAAAGTATAAAATGTGAGTTAATAAATCATTACTTTTTTTATTTTAAGGTATGGAATGCTTGCATGGAACACATCGGTTCGAGAAATGCCTGTTTGAATGCTGTTCCTGAAAAATTCGAACTTTATCGAGACCGAGGTGGTTTTCCGCTTGTCGAAACAGAATGGACCTGCGTTGTGAACGAGACTAGTGGGAATGAAACAGTTAATCCAGAAGTTCTCTCCGATGTCGTCCCCAAGGGAGTTGACATCCACCCATTTGACGAATCTCTCTTACCTTTCATATATGACTATGACTATTCACTCATAGGATACAAAAGAAACGTGGCTGTCGAACTCAGCTGTAAAGAGAAAGATAGCCGAACGCTTGTGGCTATGAAAGAAGGCGCTTGTGTCGGTTGGGGGACTATCAAGTTGAGTTGCCAGAATGTAGGGCTGATCGGACCGTTGTACGCGGACGAAGCAGATGTGGCTGAGGTGATGCTCAGGCGACTCATAAGTGACTTTCCGCTTAGTAAAGGTTTCTCTATGATGACCATATCTAGCAATACAGCAGCGAATCAGATGGTAAAGAAATTATGTGTACCCACTCTGGAGGAATGTCCTCGACTCTACAGAAAACATAAACTGAAAGTAGATGTGAATAAAGTGTTTGGACACTTTGATCTAAATTTTTCGCCATTTTGAATCTGAGACCAAGTTCCAAAGTGAAATTTGCAGGACTTAAGAAGAATGTGTACCCTCTCTGGAGGAATGTCCCAAATTCAACAGAAAACAAACTTAAAGTAGATATGAATGAAGTGTTTGGACACTTTGATCTAAATTTTTCGCCATTTTGAATCTGAGAGTTAAGTTCCGAAGTGAAAGTTGCGCAAGAGATGCCTCTGCAAGAAATTGCAAGAGATGCTTCTGTCATTTTGTAAAAGTATTTCATTGTTCAGAAAAAAACTTTATAAGACTGGCAATTGAAAAAATATTTGACAAAACGGCCATAGTTGCTGGATTTTCTAAGCAACCGAAATATTCGAAAAGTTTTATCTTTGCAAAAAGACTGAGAAGACTCACTCTATGTGAATATAAACTATCTTCGATTCTGAAACGATATCTGGTAACATATCAATTTTGAATGCAGCATATTGGAAATAATTATCATTGTGCCGCGATGAACTGGAATAATTGAAGAGTTTACAATGAAAAACTGACGACAGAAAAGAAGTTGCATTTTTTCAATTTTGAGTTTAGAAACATAATATGATTAGCTATATGTATAGAACTGAATTTGTTAACTACATATCATTAAATTAAATGGTTTTAAACGAAAAAAAGAGTTTCCATGTTGTACCCATGCTTTCTAATACTCAATGTCAACTAGAACCATAAATGACATGGTAATAAATTTTATATCGAATTTATATGTGCATAAAAAAGGCGAGATCTTCAATCATATTAGGAGTTTGGCGCTTTAAGTATTATGCTTATCTGGCTGCTAAGTACAATTCAAGCTTTTCAAGTCGTTTCAGTGTCTTTGCATAGGTTGCACAATGGGTCCGTAATTATTCTCCATTGTGCGGCTTCTAATTTGTTTATAATTCTGTGGCTAGGTACAATAACATATAAAATAAATGCAATATATTTGACCAAGATTTCAAATTATAGGTAAATATAAAAAGAAGATACTGGCATTTATATCTTCATACATCTTCAGAACATGAGCTAAATTTTTTACACTTTTAATATAAATGGACTTAATAAGGAATATTTTATTAGTATAAAATATAAAAAGAATTGATTTTTTTATAGTATAAAAATAAATTTATTAGTACAAAAATAAAGAAATATTTTATTTGATTAAAATGTTGCAAAAAACACATTCCTTCTTTCTAATGGAATTTAATAAATTCAACAGTACCGGGAATCGCCACAGGATTGTTGCTTCGAATCACAACACGCTTATCGTCCACCTGGCTGCCAGTCGCATATCAAGCTTTTTGTTGTCGTCGCTTCTAGTCCTTCACAATATAGCCTCAGCTACAGTTTCTCTATGGTACGAACTCCCCCCGCCGCAATGTCTCAGGCCGTCTGCTGCTATAGAAACAGGAAAATCGCATTTCAAGGAGGGTAGCTTCTCTTCTCTGTAGGGCTAACACAATAGACCGAAGAAAAATATTCCTTTTTGTTGACCAACCAGAGCCAAAACCTGTCCTGAGCAATGACCCCACATCCCTACTTGAAATAGTTGTACCTCGCTACCATAGTCACCGTCACGTGCCCAGACGAATCGACGAACTAATTTCAATTCTAAGGAAAAATCTAAGGTGACATAGAGGACATACAAAAAGTACATCTTACTTTAAAAATCCTTAACCGTCCAATTTATTCTTCAAATTTCATTTCCTGAAAAAATGGCTGCCTAAAAAGAACACTAAAAACCAGGGACTAATATAGGGGACCTTTATATCTATCCTTTATATAGGGACCTTTATATCTATGCTAAAAACATAGGAGTGCATGAGTGGCTACTGTTGCCAACATTTTTTATAAGTAATTCCAGTTTGAATAAAGTAGAGGTAACACAGACAAATTTCTGGGGCATATAAATTTTCTTTAAAAGAGAAAAACTCGCGATCGCAACGAACTATAGGGGGCGTTATTGTATGATAAAAATTTCTGCTATTTCCATGAGAACAGTCATTCAGTTGCTCTGGAAATGTCTTCAGTGTAGCATTGTAACGCTCCTTCTTTATTGTGGCTAATTAAATTTAAAAAAGAAAAATGTTTGATATTCTTTTCTATGCAAGCAAAAACAAATTGGTATCTTTTTTTTAATTTTTTTTTTTTTAAGAGAGAGAAGGAACATCCAAAACACATCAGAAGAAATATTTGTAAATAAACAGGAAAAAAAATTCATCTTCTTATAAGAGTTAAAACCTAATGCCTGAGAAATAGTTTTATTAAATTTAATGATATAACATGAGGGGCCTATTTAAACTTTAAATTCCATAGTTTTAAGAGTCATATTACTTTAAACATCAAAATATGTAAAAAGTGCTCATAATTTTATATAATTTAATTTTGCTAAAAAAGTTTTTTGACAACAATTTTTACCAAAACATTTTAAGTTTCAATAAAAATCATTATTTATAAATTAAAGAACGTAAAATAAAGAATGCTTACGAAACAAAAAAACGATTCGTTCTTCGTTTGAAAACTTTATTCTCAAATAATATATACATAGATTATTCCTTCATTACTTTTAGATGACATATCACACATCAAAATTTTATAATTCTATGATCCTCGATATGAATTTTAATATGTAGCTTAAAAACAGAATAGCTGAATTCTAGTTGAAATTATTCTTTCAAAATTAAAAAACACTTACCAAGAAAACGATAAAAATTTACTAATAATCAGCGCAAATGATACCACGATGAACAGTATGCGATCCCGAAATCGGAAGTTATCAGTTGCAAGTTTGTTGATAATAGAAGTTAAAAATTATTGAGGAATTTCAATGGAATCAAATGTTTGGTGCATTCTGTTTCTGAAAGGTTTATCAATGTTCTGGAGAGTTTTTTCAAGTTCTTTGGCCTTTTCCTTCGTGAAATTTTGCTTCGTATTTGCTGCTTAGAAAATGGCGTCTAACTCTGCCAATGATTCTGATGGAACTAAACGAAAACTTAATAAATAAATGGTTGATATTTTCAGGCTCCGGCGAGAGGGCGTACTCAAGCGTTGCGATAGCGAATAGTAAATTAACTATAACTTCGAGAAAATTAAGATGCTGTTAGAGTTTGATGATATGATTTTTCAAGAGTATATTAGTTTAAAGAGTATATTAGTTTAAAGAGTAAAATATTTTATATTAAATTCTTGTTTTTGAACAACTTATTTCATGTTTTAGGGATAAAGGAAGATACACACACGCAATACATTTTTAATTACATTCGCACGAATCCGCTGTAAAATATTAAAGGAATAAATATACATTTTAATTAGTTAACTTGGCTGCCTTTCATAGATTGCGATCCTCTTATAAAGTCCCTGGTCAAATTATTCGACACACTACAAGATTCTATGTAAAATCTTAATTATCAGGTGATACTCTATACAGCTTTATTGTTTTTACGCTGTTTGCACTTGTTTACGTATCAATTGGTTAAATTAGATTATATATAATATAAATTCAACAATTGGATAAATTTGACGATATTTCATATAAATATAGATTATTTATTGTATCAGCTATTATATTAGTATAATACTAGGAGGCTGCGCCCCCTGCTCGCTAACGCTCGCCAACCCCCGAGAATTGCTACGCAAACCAAGGTGGTTCACGCCGTGAACCATGGCTCGCTGCGCTCGCTCGCCAATGAACACAGTGTTCTAGCACAAAGACATAATATATTATCATCAAAGACATAGTATTTTATCATCAAAGACATAGTATTGTACTTATGTAGAAGAATTCTACCAATGTTCTTATTGGCTTTTAAAAAAGTATATTAGCTATTTAGATTGTACATGGTGAAAAAATCAAAACATTAGCTAAATAAGAAACATATTAGCAAAATAAATTATCAAATATT